AAAAAAAAAATAAATAAATAAAAATATTTCCTGATTATATAGGTAGCATGGCCTAATCTAAAAGCTAATGATTTTACAAACATCAAATAAGGTTTGAATCTCAGTTTAACTCTGATTATAAGTCTCTTAGTTTGGCTTCTGATCTTCCATTTCGACACCTGAAACAAAAGAGTTAATGATGAAGGGTTAAAATTGGCAGCTACTGTTGTTTTTATTACTGTTCCTAACTTTTAATTACGTGTGTCTTACTGATGATCTTATGTAAGAAGCCTAGTACTTTACAGCTGATAGACAGCCTGGCTAAGCGCTTGCTGCTTCTCTCTCACTGAGCCCTCCCACCTCTCCTGTTTGCCAGTCCTCGCTTCAGCGTAGTCGAGTAGGCGAGGATTTCCCCAGTAGGTCAGCTTCAACCTGCTCCGGGCCTGGAGAAGGAAACTTGGAAGAAAAGTGTAAACAGGTAGATTGAAAACTGTGTACTAATTTCAAACAATACACTTCACTGTTTGCATTTAAGACAATTAATACCAGTTACCCTTGTAAAGACTCTGGGAAGATTTTGAAGAAACCTAAAATTAATACTATATGAGCGTGTGTGTGCACCTCTGTCAGTATTTGTGCTGTGGCGTGTTTTGTGATTAACTACCTTTCCAGTGGGAGAGTCATACTGAGCATAGATTGCTACTGCATTTTGATGGAATAGTAAAAAGGAGAGATACTAGGCTGGACCCAGGATTATAGGCCTATAGTCCCAGCTGCTCTAAGGCTAAGGCGGGAGGATTGCTTGAGCCCAGGAATTTGAGGCTGTAGTGTGCTATGGTTGCCCTTGTGAATAGCTGCTGTCTCTAGCCTGGGAAATACAGTGAGACCCTGTCTTTTTAAATTTTTTTTAAAAAGGAGAGATAATAAATGAGAAATGTCTGAAGGTTTTGAAATACTTTCTCTTTAGTGATTTTTGAACAATTTTAATGACAATCTGAAAGGAAAAGTAAGAGTTATTTAATTAAGAAAACTCTTTGCTTTTCCTCTCAAATTTTAAATTTTCCCAAATTAATTCTAATACTGATACATTTGGTAAAGCTTTCATATCTTACCTGCTAAGAAGAATTCCTTTTTACTGTAAGGTATCTTTGTCTGCATTCAAGGCAGTTGATGTTCCTAGGAGATCTCTGCAAATAGTAAGATTTGAAGAACCTTTTCCCTTTACCCATTAAATTTCACTATAAGAGTATAAGACTCTTCTTTTTTAAATTTGCCACCTGATACTTAAAATAAATTTAGACACTAGAGTTGTCCATTCAAAAAAGTGAGCAGCTCATGGTGTGTGACGCACCTTTTGGGGGCCAGATACAATTACAAGAGGAACTTTACCTAACAAATGTAGTCATTGTTACCTAGTTCTTTGTACCCTCAATGAATCCCCAACAATTTAAAAAAAAGTGAGCAGCACTCTGAATTTTTTGTCTGGCAGCCTTCATGGTCCTACCTCTGGTAGAGACAGCAGTGCAGAGAGATGTGGATAAGAACAGTGGCATACTCTACTTTTATGAGTTATTATTGAACATGAGCTCTGCCCCACGCTTTTCTTAAATGCTTCTCTCTAAACCAGCTCCATATTTGGAATTAAGCCTTTAACGAGCATATTGATGGTAAAGATAAATATAACCCAGTATTATTCCTGCTTAGATGATAATATTTTGACTTCTCATTAACTCTGAAGGTCATAGATAAAAAAAAATTTTTTTTTTGAGACCAAGTCTCACTATGTCACCCTGGGTAGAGTGCTGTGGTGTCATAGCTCACAGCAACCTCAAAATCTTGGGCTTAAGAGGTACTTTTGCCTCAGCCTCCCAAGTAGCTGGGACTATAGGAGCCCGTCACAATGCCTGGCTTTTGTTGTTGTTGTTGTTGTTGTTGTTGTAGTTGTCATTGTTGTTTGGCAGGCCCAGGCTAGATTCAAACCTGCCAACTCTGGTGTTTGTGACTGGCACCCTAGCTGCAGGCACTGAGCCGATAAAATATTTTAGAGCCAAAACACTTTCATTTCTTGTAAAACTTTAATGTAGTAAAATCTTTCAGAAATTGCAAACTTAGGCTGGGCATAGTTATACTCACCTGTAGTCCCAGCTACTCAGGAGGCCAAGGCAGGAAGATCTCTTATGCCCAGGAATTTGAGGCTATAGGATGCTATGGTCATGCCTGTGAACAGCCGTTGCAATCCATCTTGGGCAATATAACAGGACACTGTCTCTTAAAAAAAAAAGAAAAAGAAAAAATCATGCTTAAATGATAGTTTTTACACATTGGAACTTGCATCTCATTAGGAACAGATTTTACTTTAGAAATGGCTTTACGCTACCAATTTTATAATTTCTTTAGGAGAAATCTCAAGTTAGTTTGTGACATAAAGTACTCTATGGTTCTGGGAAGGAATGTGTTCTTCTAAATAAAGACAGTGGTACATTTCATATGAAAATACACTATTCAAAAATGTGCAATACATTTTATAATTTTCAAATGCCATTTTCAGTCAACAAACTTAGAACTGCCTATGCTTTTTACTAAATTACTGACACAGATGGTTTTTCCTGCTAACACTCATGTGCTGCTGCCTTTCTCTTTGTAGTGCAGTTTTTCTGCATGCGGTTTTTTTCTAACATCTAATAAATGCTTTTAAAAAAACACCTAGGTTATTTTGCATGATTTTTAGAAATTGTTCTATAATCTGAACATATAAATCATGTTAACAGTACATTAAATTGGTAATGAAATAGATTTCTTTGGGCAGTATTTAATTAAAAATGTTTTGATAACAAAACACAGAAAAGTATATATTGTTACTGTAATCAGCAATGCTTTTTTTTGCCCGTGTCACGAAAGCACACTGGTTGCTTGTGATCTAATTTGGATAGAAAGGGTATTAATGACAATATTTGTAGATCAAGGGTAAAGGTACTATGCTTTTCACCCAATGCTATATTTAGTGAACGCTTTTAAAATGTTGAAAAAGTAGTTTTTGATTCCACATATATTATTCTACTGATACTTTTTAATTTATATTATCTTTCAATTGTTTTTACTAAACCCAATCAACCTACAATAATTTATTAGGTTTAGGTTTTTTTCTTCTCTGTGCACAAAATAATTATTTTGTCCTAACTGGACCTAGAATTAATTTTCACATTGTAAAAGCATTGCAGTATTTGGTGATGATTATTTCCAAAGAATTTCTCAGCAAGCACATTTTTATGTAATATTCTATGTCATGGGGAAAATACTCTGAATAATTACTACAATCCTAAAAATCACAGTCTTTAAAAAGATACATGCTTTTGGTAAAAATGAAAAAGTTGTTTGTTACACACACAAATAGATTTTCTCTTTCTCTTGACTATTAGAAGCCAGTAAGAAATGCCTGTTAGTATTTACTAAAAAAATTTTTGGCTTAGCTTTTGTAAATCAAAGCCCTTATTATTAATACCTTCAGGCATTATTTTTGAAGCTGAGATTGCCCGTTACTAAATCAGTACTATAGAAAGCACATTACTTGCTGGAAAGACCCAAGTCTCATTTAGCTACTCATATTTCAGCAAATTGGTTTCACCACCTTGCTGCGATAGTCATTACAGGTGATCCTGCAGTACGTTGTCTCAATTGATAAAGGACAGTAGAACATTCTCCAAAAGGCAGAAGAGCATTGTATACTCCTTTGAAATCTGGTTTGCTTCTCAGACGTCCTTCTCCTTGGTTCATAGACCTAGACATAGGCTTTTAGATGTATTTAAAACCTTCTTCCAGGAGTTTTTAGTCAAGAGGAATGGGGATGAGGAAAAGTGGTTTCTCAAGGTAACCCAGTGGCAGCTTGTTTAAAAATGCATCCTTTCCAGGCTATACTGGAAACCCTGCCAGTTCTGAATTATTAAAATGGTGATAATCTAAGCCTTTTTAGATTTTTTAGTTGTTTCATTTACCTATTTACCAGCTTCCTTCCTCATACCAGGCAACAATGGAAAAGTAACAGGAAATTTACTGTTGATGTGCTGTGGAAATCCAAGGCCACAGCATTAAAATGAAACCAGGATTTATTTTCTACATTGAAATCAGACTGTTTGTAATTAATTACATTATTTTCTCCAGAAGTTGTGTTTTTTTTAATTCTATGAGTACCCTCTTACTAGTATTTTACTAATATGTATACAAGTGTTTTCTTTTAAAAACATAAATGAACATTTTGACTAAGACATGTTATTATACTTTGCATAATTAATCATGGGGTTTTTTGTTTTTTTTTTAGGCTGCACAAATTGTGCTAATCTCTCTGTTTGAATTGAATACTCCTGAATTTACTATGTTACTTGGTGCCTTGCCAAAAACATTCCAGGATGGTGCCACCAAACTCCTTCATAACCACCTCAAGAATTCCAGTAACACCAGTGTGGTGAGTGCTTTGGTCACACCTGGTGCCTGTGTGCCGACCGCGATCTCTGTGTATCCCTTGTCTAGAACCTTTTCTTAATAGAACATCCAGCTTCCTTATTCTTTTTCGGTAGTTGTCAGCATCTTCAGGGTTAGACTGTGTATGATCCTGCCTGCCGTATGCCCAGTGAATAAATGAACCTGGTATTCAAATGTGGCCTTTTTCTTAGGTTAGGTTGTTCAGTCAGTTACTTTTTTCTTTTAGAGACAGAGTCCCACTTTATTGCCCTCGGTAGAGTGCTGTAGCATCACAGCTCACAGCAACCTCCAACTCCTGGGCTTAGGCGATTCTCTTGCCTCAGCCTCCTGGGTAGCTGGGACTACAGGTGGCTACCACAATGCCTGGGTATTTTTTGTTGCAGTTTGGCCGGAGCTGGGTTGGAACCTGCCACCCTCAATATATGAGGCCAGTGCCCTACTCACTGAGCCACAGGCGCCGCCCAGTCAATTACTTTTTTAACACTGTAAAAGATGCAGATGTTCAATTTTGTCTGTCACGTTAGCAAAACTGACAGTCATTTGATTCCAGGAATGCCTATAGGACTGATGTTATCTATTCTTGGTTTATATGCACATAAAATTAGCTTTATGATTCTGGAAAAAAAGTTTTATTCTGGGAAATTCTACGTATTTATTTATATGTGAGTTAAAAACTAAGAGAAGAGTGGTACTACACTCCATATACAGTTCTGGATAATGGTGCCTATTCTGCCTTCACCCCAGGGCTCTCCAAGCAATACGATTGGCAGGACGCCCTCCCGGCACACCAGCAGCAGGACTAGCCCCCTGACCTCACCCACCAATTGCTCCCATGGGGGTCTTTCTCCAAGGTAAGGTTATTTCTACAGAAATAAAGAGAATTAAAGCCTTTTAGTGTCTGTGCAGCCTATTTCTAGATTTATACCAAATAATACCAAAAAGAATATTAAGTATCAGGAGATCATAGGTTCTAGCCCTCCCTTAAATTATAACTGTGTAATCTTAGGCGGAGTTCAATTTTCTTAGTAAAATGAGTGTTCTTTGCTGAATGTTCTTCTAGCTCTAAACAGTCTCTAGTACCTTATAGATTTTAAAACCGAAAGTTGTATTTAATACCTTTACATAAAATTCAGTTTACAAGGGACAGGAGAACCTGAAGGTATCTAGTCATCTGTGTATATTCTCTATAGCTAGTCCACACCAAGTCTGGAGTAGTTTTCAAATGAAGTGGCCATTCCAGGCATAGTTGATAGCACGTTTGAAGCAGGATGCTGTTCTGAAAGACTTTGATTTAGAATCTGTGAACTAAAATTGGATCAACATTCTCATGCAGACACTGGCCTTTTATAATCGAGGACATTGACTTGAAGAGAGAAAATCCTTTGTTTAAGGATCTTTAGGTAATACTTCATCATCTGACCAGAGCCTTTAGAAGTCTGCATGGTGGCTTTAGTGACCCCCTTACATGGGTTGGAAGTTATCCATGGCCCCACTCTGAATAGGGCCCTACAGGCCAGAATTTTAGAAAAGAACCATGTCTGGACCTGCAAGCAGCACACGTGCTTTGTAAAAAGTCCAGATCTGTGGAACACTGGCAGGAGGAACCAGGAAACTTTTGTCCTGAGGGTTGCTGACACAAAGATCTTAAAATGAAATGAAAATATCACAAGTATACCATTTTCTCTTTAAGGAGAATAGAATAGTATACTATTCCTTTATTAGGAATATATCAAAACATAATCACTTTTAAATTAAAATTGTTAAATGATCAAAAGTCTCCCAAATTTTCTTACCACTGAAGTTCTCTTTAGTTCTTCCATTATCTTTTAAATATTTGGAACATAAAAAACTTGTGTGTTTTTTTTTTCAGTTGGTGAAACAAAGAATTTTATACACTTGTAGTGTATCTTGCTGTTTTTATTGCCTGATGTTTCCTCTCCCAAATTTCCCTCTGTACTATTTTTACATAGAATAGAATGTGGTATTAAGTCTCCAAGTTTGGTATATGTTGTCATGATTTTAACAGGACCATTGAGACCAGAAACTAATGACATTATATCTGACTTTTCCCAAGTATGACTGAGGCACAGTCAACTTTTTTTTTTTCAATGCTAACATCTGTATCTAACGAATATGGTATGTCTCAAATAATGAGGGTCCAGTGTTCGCTGTAAAATCATAAAGTTCCTGGTGGGCAAAATTTTATGAGAAACTTGAATTCTCTGTAAATTGTTGTCATTTGTCTAGAGGTGACACTTCTACGACATTAATGGGAACTCTGTTCTTCCATGGTGCACATACATCTTATTCTTTAGTTACTGCGTGGCTGGGTGGCACATTCTTTAGGTATAAGCAAAAAGGTATAACTCAAATTATTTTATTATATATGCAAAGAGTCTAAGAAGAAATTAGGAGGAGCTGTTACCATAATTGATTAGAGCTAAGAACTAGCTAGATATTTTCATGGATCCCTGAGTCATTAAAAGTTTTATTTTTCAGGCCCAGGGCTGTGGCTCATGCCTATAATCCTAGCACTCTGGGAGGCTGATAGCTTGAGTTCACTGGTTCAAGACCAGCCTGAGCAAAAAGCAAAACCCCATTTCTACTAAAAAAGTAGAAAAACTGAGCCAAGAGGATTGCTTGAGCCCAAGAGTTGGAGGTTGCTATGACCTATGATGCCATGGCACTCTAAGCAGGGCAACAGCTTGAGACTATGTCTCAAAAAAAAAAAAAAA